TAGAAGAAGTAGTAGTAGTAGTAGTAGTAGTAGTAGTAGTAGTAGTAGTAGTAGTAGTAGTAGTAGTAGTACCAGTCGTAGTAGTATTAGTATTAGTACTAGTATTAGTATTACTATTATTATTATTATTAGTAGTAGTAGTAGTAGTACGAATCATACACATGGAAATCGACATAGTAGTAGTAACAGTGGTAATAGTAGTCGTAATAGTGGTAGTAGTAGTAGTAGTAGTAGTAGTAGTAGTAGTAGTAGTAGTAACAGTAAAAATGCTAAGAGTGGTAGTCTTCGTCGTAGTAGTAGCAGTAGAAATAGTAGTAGTAGAAGAAGCAGCAGTACCAGTATTAGTAGTAGAAATGCTAGTAGAAGTAGTCGTAGTAGTCGTAGCAGTAGTAGTAGTAGTAGTAGTAGTAGTAGTAGTAGTAGTAGTAGTAGTAGTCGTAGTAGAAGCCGAAGTAGAGGTAGTAGTAGTAGTAGTAGTAGTAGTAGTAGTAGTAGTGGTAGTAGTAGTAGTAATAGTATCAGCAGTAGTAATAGTCGTAGTAATAGTCGTCGTAGTCGTGGTAGTAGTAGTTGGACTAGTCGTAGTGGTGGTAGTAGTAGTAGTAGTAATAATAATAGTAGTAGTAGTAGTAGTAGTAGTCGTACCAGTAACACTCGCAGTAGTAGTAGTAGTAGTAGTAGTAGTAGTAGTAGTAGTAGTAGTAGTAGTTGTAGTAGTAGTAGTAGTAGTAGTAGTAGTGGTAGTATTAGTAGTAGTAGTAGTCTTAGTAGTCGTAGTAGTAGAAATCGTAGTAGTAGTAGTAGTAGTAGTCGTAGTAGTAGTAGGAGTAATAGTAGTAGTAGTCGGAGTGATAGGCGTAATCGTAGTAGTAGTAGTAATAGTAGCAATACAAACTGTCGTAGTAACGATAGTAGCAGTGGTAGTAGTAGTAGTAGTAGTAGTAGTAGCACTGGAAGCTTTAGTGGTAGTAGAAGTAGTAGTAGTAGTAGTAGTAGTAGTAGTAGTAGTAGTAGTAGTAGTAGTAGTAGTCGTAGTACTAGCCGTAGTAGTAGAAGTAGTAGTAGTAAAACAGTAGCACTCGCAATAGTAGTAGTAGTAGTAGTAGGAATAGTAGTAGCAGTCGTAGTAGTCGTAGTAGTAGTAGTAGTAGTAGTAGTAGTAGTAGTAGTAGTAGTAGTAGTAGTAGAAGTGGTAGTAGTAGTAGTAGTACTACTACGTCTAGTAGTTGTAATCATTACTGCTAGTAATATCAGTAATAATAGAAGTAGTCTTCGCAATAGTACTAGTGGTAATAATATTGGTGAGTAGTAGTAGTAGTTGTTGTTGATGTAGTACTGGAAATATTAGGACGAATCACATTAATAATTATGGAATCGTATTAATAAGACGAATCGTAGTAGTAATAGTAATAATATTAAGATTAATCGTGTTAATGGTAGTAGTACTAGTAGTGATGGTAGTAGTAGTAGTAGTACTAGTAGTAGCAGTAGTAGTAGTAGTAGTAGTACTAGTAGTAGCAGTAGTAGTAGTAGTAGTAGTAGTAGTAGTAGTAGTAGTGGTAGTAAGAAGTCGAAGTGATAGTTCTCGTCGTAATAGTATTAGGAGAGGTCGTAGCAGTTGTGGTTGAAGCAGCAGTAGTAGTCGCCGTTGTAGTAGCAGCAGTAGTAGCAGTAGTAGTAGCAGTAGCAGCAGCAGTGGTAGTAGTAGTAGTAGTAGTAGTAGTAGTAGTAGTAGTAATAGTAGTAATAAACGGCGGTAGTAGTAGTAGTAGTAGTAGTAGTAGTAGTAGTAGTAGTAGTAGTAGTAGTAGTAGTAGTAGTAGTAGTAGTAGTAGTAGTAGTAATAGTAATAGTGGTGGTGGTGGTGGTAGTAGTAGTAGTAGTAGTAGTAGTAGTAGTAGAGGTTCGTGGTGGTGATATTGTTGTTGTGATTGTCGTTGTTGTTGTTGCTGTGCTTGTTGCTGGTTCTGTTGTTGCTGTTGTCGTGTTAGTTTCGCTGTAGTTGTAAATGTAGGTGTTGCTGTTGTTGTTGTTGTTGTGGTTTGAATTTTCACTTCTGAAAAATGAACAATGTTGATCCCCCCGCCCGGTGCACATTGCATTTGTCAATTGAAGTGCCCCTCCCTGGGCTCGCACCCTGCTTTCTTTTATTAGGGAAAGTCTGGAGAGTCAAACCGCGCCCCTGGCCCCCGAGTTACAACAACAACAACAACAACGGCTCCCGCCGGATCTTTCCTCAATGTATTGAGAAATCAAGCTTTCGCGTGAGACAACCTGGCGATGTACTCAGGAACCGCGCTTTCGCCTGGGATTCTCACGCAATATATTCAGATGCTGCGCCTCGACATTCAGGACTCGCGCTCTCGCTTTGGACGAATCCTTCGTATTCTACGTATGCTTCAATACATTGTCCTCTTCCTGCGCATCCACTCCTGAGTGTTTTACGTATGTTCCTACAGATTGGCCCTCCCCTGGGGCACGAGTCCTTGGTGTTATACGCGTGTTCCTATACATTGCCCTTCTCCTGTGGCTCCAATCCGAAGTGTTTTACGTTTGTTCTTATAGATTGGGCCTCTCCTGGGGCACGAATCATCCCCAGGCCAGGAGGCTCCGGGAGGCCTCAGGAGGCCACAGAAAGTCCCAGGAGGCCCCAGGAGGCCCCAAAAGGCTCCAGGAGGCCCCAGGAAGCCCCAGGAGGTTTTAAGAGGCCCCGGGGGGCCCCAGGCTCATGCGCAGAGGCGCACGAAGACTACTGAGACTTGTTCACATTCACATTTCGATTCGCTCCCAGACCGTCAATACTCAAGCCCGTTTGGAGTCGAAAACTCTTGCGCCTAGACACTCACGGCTGACAGGTCCATGCTAATAGATGCACACATGGTGGGCTCCACGCAGTGAGCAACATATTACCCCGACCGCGACGAGAAGTGACACCTTCCTACTCCCTCCTCTTTTGCCTCACGTAATGTTATGTGATGTTGTGGTATGTTATGCTATGTTATGGTATGTTATGGTATGCTTACCACATACAAAGGATGTGGTTCCTGAAATTACCGACAACGCCGACATAGAGCACACATCACACCTCTTCATCGTCCTTCTCGTGTTATGGTATGATGTGTTATGATATGGTATGACATGTTATGTTATGTTATGATATGGTATGGTAGAATAGGTTATGGTATAATGTGTTATGGTGTGTTATGGTATGGTATGTCATGATATGCTATGTTATGCTAGGTTATGTTGCGCTATGCAATGCCATGCGATGATGATGGTGATTATGATGCTGAGGAAGAAGAAGCTGATGATTATGATGATTACTTTTGGGTCTGCTTTACCATCGTTGCTCCACGAGCCTAGGAACCTCGGTCCGCAGCGCCGCCAATGGCGACACGAATCTCTGCCGCATCCTCCCACGCCTGGCCGACGCGCAGCAATAAAAAATTGCGAGGACCTCGTGCGATACTCCCTGCCCGCCCCCCCCGCGCTGGAAGAGACTTTCTCCACATCCTCTTTGATGGGACGAGCAATCCGCACGTACCGCGTGCCATTCGAACGGGCCCACGGACAAACGCCTCGCTCTAGCGCTGGTGTATTCCATCACCACACGCAAGGATGCAGGCAACACCTTGTCGTTTTGTTCCTCTTACCTCGAGAGGAACGAGCTTAAACAGACACCGACCCTGCGCCGAATATTGCCCAGGCCAGGACAGGTGATTTGGCCAGATGACGTCGCCCAGCTTAAAACTGTTAGTGGAACCAGCAACCTAATCACCCTCCACGCAGAGGAAGCAACACATGCCCCATATGGTTGGCAACAAAGCGAGGTCGCAGGCTTGAGCTAACACCATGCCTCGTGAGCAGGATCCTTAGCCAAACGGGTTCGTAGTAGTGCGTCGCGCGAAACATGCGCACCACTGTATGGACAAGATCGTGGAACGATTTGGCCCGAAGAACTTGAAAAACAATCGGGCCTGGCAGCCCGGTATCTGTGCGATCGGCGGGAGCGAGAAGAGGACGGCAACAGAAGCAGGAACAGGAGGGGGCGGGGACACGGGGGAAAAGGAGGACTAGGACGGCAACGCCCAGGTCTGCGAGAGGCGATCCTAAGTCCATCTCTGGTGCATGCACATCGTGCGGCCACGATGGCACAGCAAGTGCACGGCGTCCTCTCGGCACATTCGTCCCACCTCCATCTCTCTCTCTCTCTCTCTCCCTTTCTCTCTCTCTCTCTCTCTTCTTCCTCATCCTGCACGTCCGCCTCCCTCCCTCAAGGTTCGCAGAGAGCCAGTATCCAAGGCTCAATTAAGATTCAAGCCCTAAATTGGACTGAGTATAGACATGCAACGCGCGAGCATATCCTCAAAATGCGCGCAAAACGCTCGGAGGGTGGATCCTCCCGGCCACAGCTGCGAGTCTCCTCGCGTGCTGTTGGCGACCGCTGGGCAAAGCATGCCAGGCTCATGAACTGGTCCGCCCTGTCAATTCCTCCTCCTCCTCCTCCTCCTCCTCCTCCTCACCATCATCTTCACCATCATCCTCCCCCCCCACCCCGCTCCCCATGTCCTTCCTTCCTGCCTGGGCTGCCTGGGGCGGCGGCCGGGTCCAGAATCTTATAGCAATTGGTTCGACATGCAGGGCTGGCCCAGACTCCTGTCTTGATCGGATCTCTGGCTAGATCATTTTCGATTCTGGACCCGGCAGCCCGCTAGCTGGGCTGCAGTTGCTGGCGGCCGCCGAGCTCGGGGCCACCAAGCCGATCGCGGGCGCGCGGTGCTGGCTGATGGCTGGAAGTCGCCTCAAAAGGTGCGCCAGGCCTCTCCAGGTAGGCCCTCGCCCCGTAGGTCGGGTCCGCACAGGACGCGCCAGGCCTCGTTGCAGAGGCTGCGACAGCACGGCCAGACGACTGGTGTCGTCGAGGACTGTTCCCTTTTACCTCCAGCTGGTGCTTTCCTACCTTCCTTCTTAATATAGTCGCGGTCCTTCCTCGGCAATCACTCCCCCCCATCCCGAATTCGGAGCAGCCTCCTGCGTGGATCCGCGCACGGCCGCTCTGAAGGCACCTCTTGAAATCTTGAAAATCCAGCGACCAAATGTCGGGAGCAGGGATGACAGTCGGCTCGAGCTCTAGATTGCAGCTGCATGGAAAAGCTGTCTGCTCGTCACCTCCCGCGAGGTCGCCCCCGCGACATCCTGGTCATGGCCAGTATGCTTCCTCTGCTGCTCGCAGTCCCCCTCGGCTCCCGCCGGGACGCCCGGGACCAGCTTCGGCAGCGCGCCGCCGAGGCCCCGATCCGGCAAGCTGAGCGACTGGCCGGCGCCGAAGGGTCCCTCGCGGCAGCCTCCCGTGGCCTGCGCAGCGAGGCCGCGTGCTCGCCGCGGACAAGCTCCCACGGGAGAAGCTTCTGGGGCAGCTCCCCTCCGCGCGCTCCCGTCGGAGCCATCGCCGGCAGGGCCGCGCTGACCGAACGGCTTGTTGTGGGGCCCCCGCGGCAGCGCGGCGGCGGCCGCAGCCGCGGAGCCGCGAGGGGCCCCCGGAGCGGAGGATGGGCCCTCGCCGCGGACGCGCCTGGCCGTGGGCGCCTCGTCGGCGCCCGCCCCGAACGAGTTCCAGCGCCCCGCGCGGAGGGCGGCTGTAGCGGCGGCGGCGCCCCTTTCGCGGGGGGCGGCCCTGGCCTGGTCCGCGGGCCTGTGCGCCCGGATGGCCGCGCGGGCGGGGAACGAGACCGTTCTGCTCTCGGCGGCGCGCGCGGCCGGCTTCCCGGGGCTGCCGCCCTCGCACGACGCGAAGGGCTCGGAGGACGGCATGTTTGCCGCAGTCAGGACGGTGCAGGTCAGCTCGTCGGACGACGATACCTCGAAGAGCATCCTCTGGGATCGCTGCACCGCCATGGCCCGCCACCGATGAGGCCTCGGGGGCCTGAGTCGTACGGTACGGGCCGCGCGGAGGACGTCGCCAAGTGCAGGCCTGGAGAGCTTGAGCCAAAATGGCTATGGATGACCCCCAAGGGGGAGGAGCCGCCTGGGGGTATCTCACTACTCCGTTCGCGCCAACGTGCCGTGTATGTATCGAGCGGCTTGAATTGGTTTTGCCTTTAACATTCTCCGCTTTAGGAGCAGGTTCAGAGGATTTCTCGAGCGAGTCGCTGGTTTTCGCACCCCTGGGGGCCAGATCTTGAGGATGTCTTGAGCGGTTTGCCTATTTTGCTGGCCAGACTCGTGGGCACGGATACTCCGCAGGATGCCACAGGAGGCTCCAGCAGGCTCCGGCTCCAGGTGGCCCCAGGAGGCCACATGAGGTCCCAGGAAGCATCAGGAGGCCACAGGAGGCCCCAGGAGGCCCCAGGAGGCCCCAGGAGGCCCCAGGAGGCCCCAAGAGGCTCCAGGAGGCCATAGGAAGCACCAGGAGGCCCCAGGAGGCCCCAGGAGGCCATAGGAGGCCACAGGCAGCGCCAGGAGGCACCAGGAGGCCTCAGAAGGCCCCAGAACGCTCCAATCCCATGTGTTTTACACATGTTCCTATGGCCTCGCCTGGAGCACGAATCCTTTGTGTTTACGTATGTTTATGTAGTTTGTCCTTCTATTGCGCATCCACTCCTAAATGTTTTACGTCTGTTCCTATAGGTTGGACCTCCCCTGGGGCACAAGTCCTTGGCGTTTTACGCATGTTCCTGTTGATTTCCTCACTTACTGCCACACTCTTTCGTTCTGAAGCCCCTTTTCCGGTCTCTCTCTCTTTACTTCGACGGCTTTGCCCGGTACTCCTGTCAGGCAATTGTTTAAACAGCACAGGGTCCACAGCCCACTTCATGAGATGGATGGGCTTGACGACGACGTTGGAGCAAGGGGGTCAGGAACTGGAGGATCTGGGGCGTCAACAGGGGAGAACACCACGAGCGCAATCACAGGAGCTGCCCATGGACTTCAACAACATCATGAACAGGGGGAGATTCACTAACGTTTTCTTCTATGGCACGTCTTTTGGAGCAGCATTTGGCACCAATACGCCGAGACATATCAGCCATAAAGTTGCATGGAGTTTCTCGCGACGACCTTGACGGAGCTCTCCAACCGATCATGCAAGACATGGAGGCTATTTCACAGCGAGTGGAAGTACTAGAAGCGAAGTCGGCCCAATACACTCCGCGCTCGGACGGCACGGAGATCACCCAGGGATCATTGCAAAATCGTTTGGCAGAATTGGAAACCATGATGAAGAATCTATCGACGGCGAGTGGAAAAACAGACGCTGCGACGGCAGTGTTCGGTGGCTTGGACGGGCTTTCCTCTTTGGAGGAGGCAGAGAAGTTCATCAAGGCGGAGCTTCGCAAGGCGAATGTCTCACCACCCGTCGACATCTTCATCAAAGGGGACACATTTTCAGGCCTCGTTTTCGGCAAGATGGCCAACCCGGACGACCTCCAGACAGTCGTGCACAAGTTCCGGACCACATCCATCACGTGCTCTGGAAAAAGGGTGTGGGCGAATCAAGACCAACCTGTCCATGTACGTGTCCCTCTTCGTTTTCTTTTTGGTTTCAAGAAGTTGCTCACCAATTGGGGTTTCAATTCTAAAGCTATCAAAGTTGATGATATGGCTCTTACTTTGAAGATCGGTGCTGACACGATTCTGTCTACAACCTGCTCGGGGAAGAACTTGGCAATTACGTGGTTGAGCGAGGAGTGGAAGAATTGGGGGTACCTTCACAACGACGATGATTACAAGGCGCTTTACGATAAGTGCCAGAAGTCTTTAGAGGCGGTTGGGGACAAAGGCAAAGGTAAAGGGAAGCCTCTGGCAAAATAGGGACAGCACCGGTCAAACCACGTTTCACCCCCTACCTTGACAGGGGATTTGCATGTGTACAGCAAGAATGCGAGATTACGAACAAACGCGCAAATAGTTGAATTAATTGCTGAATTGACAGATGTGGAGTGGGATATCATAATGTTCAGCGAGACCAGGGCGACATCAACACAACTTACATTAGAAGGTGGGCATAAATTGTTTTTACATTTGGATGGTTATGGTGCTGCGGGCGTTGGCGTCTTGGTGCACGAACGCCACGCTCAGAATATTCGCCGGGTATGTGCTGAGGCCGGCCGCATGATCGGGTTAGACATAGTATTGGGGAGAAGCACATACACATTTATTTCCACTTATGTTCCTCATGCTGGTTTTTCTCTGGATGATACCACCGAGTTCTACGACCGGCTTGATAACATGGTACGGGCGGCCCAGAGGAGAAGAAGTCATGTAGTTATTGGTGGCGATTGGAATACTCAGTACAATATCGGCCCAAGGGGGCAAATATTGAACGAATTCGTAGCGTGCCATGGTTTTCAATTAGCAAACTTTCCGCCCAGCCTGACCCACGCAGACGCGTGGACATTCCGATCGAGTCTTGGACACACAAGGTGCATCGACTTCATCTTAGTGCCTGGCTCCATACAGGTGGTGGACAGTAGAGCGGTTGATCTCTTAAGCTTGGGATCGGATCACAGGGCTGTACTTGCACACTTGACTATGAGAATCCGTACCCGGAAGGGCCAGCAGAAGTGGAATCATCGAGGTTGGCAACCGCGTGATGATGCGGATTATGGTCATGATTTGGACGCTCACTTGCAAGACAGTCCGCCAGGTAATATGTCCGACTTGGACGCGTGCTTGGCCGCCGTTGCACCGGGACGCGCCCAACAGCAGGAAGGGCAAACATGTTTCTGGAATCATACTGCTTTCCAGGAGCTGTTGCGTCAACGTCGAGCTCTCCCACACGGGTCCGCAGCCAGACGGGACATGTCCAAACGTATTCGCAGAACTGTGCGTGCAGAGTTGCGGAGAAGAAAAGCGAGGCGCACCGAACAGATCCTCGGCGAGTTCTGCGATCTACATCGGCTCGCTGCAACCAAGTTCTTTCCAGCCCAAGCGAAGAAGGACGTAGTCGATGCACAATGTCCTCCTGAATCTTTGGCGGGCTTCCTGGAGAACATATTCTCGTCTACAGCGGTGCCGCCGCCCGAGAAGACGGACCAACGCGTGTTTACCAACATTCCCCAATTTACCAAGATGGAGCTTACAAAAGCGATCCGGTCTTTGAACAATAAGAGGGGCGCCGACACGGATGGCATCGTCGCCGAGATGTTCAAGCACGCCTCCGATACATTTACCGATTGGTTATTGTTTTTCTACAACCAGGTGCTGCTTACGGGCGAAGTGGAAGATTCTTGGAAAGACACGGCGTTTGCAATGCTCCCTAAGTCTGCGAATTTGGCACAGCCGAAAAACTGGAGACCGATAGCCATTCTCAAGACAACTTACAAAATATTCTCCGGCATGCTGTACCATCGCTTGCGCGACGTCCTCGAACACGCGCAAGGGCCGGACCAAGTAGGCTTCAGGCCGAACCACTCGGTCGATGACGCGTTCCTGGTCTTCGAAGTGGCATGCAGCAAATGCATAGAATGGCAAGTGCCGCTGTGGTGCGCCAGTTTGGATTTGACCAAAGCATTTGATCGGATTGAGTACGGCCCTCTCTTTAATGCCCTCCGGCGCCAAGGCCTTGAAGACTACACTGCCTTGCTGGCGAGGCTGTATTCTGGACAGATGGGCAGCGTGTCGGGCGCGCAAGCTTTTCGCATCCAGCGGGGGGTCAAGCAAGGCGACGTCATCAGCCCGATGCTGTTCAACGCTGGTTTGGAGTTGGCAATGGAGAGATGGAAAATCCGCATTGGTCACGCCGGGTTGTTCATAGGAGCGGGCGAAAAACTCACGAACATACGTTACGCTGATGACATCATGTTGTACGCGAGTTCTGCCGACGAGCTGGCCGCCATGATGGAAATTCTTATTGAGGAGCTTGACACAATTGGTCTCCAGCTAAATCCGGAGAAGACAAAGATTCTTACCACGGAGGAGGGGATGGAGACTATGTTCATTGAGATTGGCGAGCACATGCTGAACGTCATGGGAGGCAATGATGTCCACAAGTATTTGGGAAAAGTATACCCGGGAGTTTGAAACATCGTAACGATATCGAGTTGGGTCGACGATTCCAGCGAGCTTGGTACAAATTTCATGAACACCGTCATGTTCTCACAGACCAGAACGTATCCGTAAGACTGCGGCTGAAGCTTTTCCAATCAGTCATTACACCTACATTGTTGTTCGGACTATCGGCTGCGGCGCTGACCAAGCATCAAACGCAATCCCTGGACGTCCTTCAGAATAAGATGCTTCGCTTGGTTGTTGGTTGGAGGCGTTGCGAGGGCGAGGACTGGGCAGACACCATGAGACGCATGAGGGACAGAATCGCCAATGCAATGCAGATCTTTCCGATTGAAAAATGGAGTGAATTGCATTACCGCCGCCTGTTCAGATTCGCGTGCAGGTCAGCATGCTCGGACACGGAATGGACTCAGAAAGTCATAGTATGGAACCCGCGCTACACGCATGGGGCTACGAGGGCGCGCGGGCGCCCTCCGACGAGATGGGACGACCGCCTCCAAGGATTCGCCCGCGATGTCTTGCATAATGTATCTCGCTGGTATGACTGTGTACACGATGGTGACGAGGACGCATTCGTCGAGTATTGCATTCACGCGTGAGGACCGCCCCAGTTCTTTTCTTTCCTCCCCCCTCCCCCCTCGGAGGCACAACGTTTGCTCTCCGTTTACGCACGTGTGCGCTCAGGCCACTGTGCTGGAGCCTCGCCCGTCTACGGGCCAACCCATGTGGTTTGACCGGGCCTCTGTCTGTCTGTCTGTCCTGTTGATTTCCCCTCTACTGGAGCTCCACTCCGCAATGTTTTACACCTGTTCCTATAACTTGGGCCTCTCCTGGTGCACGGATCCTCCACGGAAAGCCCCAGGAAGCTCCAGGAGTCCCCAAGAGGCTCCAGGAGGCCACACGAGGCCCCAGGAGGCCAGGAGCACAGGAAGCCCCAAGACTCCCCAGGAGGCCCCAAGAGGCCCCAGGAGACCCCAGATGGTTTCAAGAGGACTACTGAAACTAATTCACACTCAAACTCATTCACACTAAGATTCACTTCCAGACCGTCAATA